CATGTACAAAGTCAACATTTCATACTGAATTTTCAAAATAAGAATGAATCCTGCAAAATTCCGAATTAACTGCGATTACTATAATGTAAAGTTCATACATTACCGAGTCACACAATACCAACCCCAAAGAGCTGATGTTTTAAAAAAACCAAAAAGTATATTTAAGCAAACTACTGTGTAACGTTTCCACTCCCACTAAAAATACTATAAGATGACAAAAAAGATGCTTGAATGCATTTTTTTTTCCTTAAAAGCAATACAAGTATATTTAAGCAAACTACTGTGTAATGTTTCCACTCTCACTAAAAATACTATGAGATGACAAAAAAAGATGCTTGAATGCTTTTTTTTTCCTTAAAAGCAATAGAGTCTGAGCCATTAAATGGCTCTAACTGAAGAAAACCCAGCCAAAAACCTGTACTTCCATTTCTGCAGTTTGATCCTGCATTTGGAACAGGGAGACTCCAGAAAAAATCAGCCACAGAGCACTGGGAGGGTAATTTCACTCATTTCAATCATCTAAAAGAACTGACAGCTCAACCAATTTCCATCTTGATCCCAACCAAAGTAACAAACATTCAATTATACAATACTAAGTCTATTAAATCAAAGTTTGAAAAAAAATTAGTAATTTTCCAGTCTAGCAACCATTTCCTGATGAATAAAAAACCAAATAAAACCAAATCCTGCTGTATAACACCAGAAGATACTGAGGTACTCAAGTCACTGCTTTTTTTATGAACAGATGTTAATCACTAAGAATAACTTATCAGAAAGAGCAATACAGAAAACTGTTACAAAACAGCATAACAGGCTGACAAACATTTTTGCTATAATTATGAAACACAAGGATAAAAACTGAGCATAGGACCTTGGAATGGTGCAAGTTGTGACCTGGATTCACGGGAAAAATGAAGACAACGCTCAAAACCCAAGTGGGAGGAAGTGATATTTCTCAGCAGCAGAGCACACATCAATATTCATGTAAAAGTTAATGGCACACTTTGAGAGAACAGACAGCAGTTCAGGACACAGGAATTTGCTGTTACTTACAAACCCAGCAGTGCTCACAAACGTGTCAAGAGGATCCATTCACAGAAAACCAGTAGCAACTATTTGTGTGGACTGTACCTTCTCTCCTGTATCCTTGTGTGGACTGTACCTTCTCTCCTGTACTGTATCACTTTTTGCCTACATTCTTGCAATTGTTAAAGGCATTGTTATGCTAATAAAGCCTCATTGAATTAAGCAGTTTAACCTATCTGAGGCTAAGCCCAAGACACATTAAAAAGAGGAACAGGATGCAAAAAAATCTGCATTTCCAGCAAGTGGCATTTTTTACTTGTCCACTGATTCCCACCAGCACTTAAATCCAGTTATGGCACAGCATGGAACACAAGTTAATAATGTCTTCTGGATTTATTAGGTTGGAATAAAAATTATGAGTGGCAGGAGAGAAAAGAAAATGAGACACAAAAGAAAAGGGGATTGCAACAAGGCACATAATGCAGTTTTGTCTTAAAAACAAACACACAAACACCACAGTATGTGAACTATCATACTAGTTAACACAAAAATCAAAATGCAGGATTTTCAAGTTGGGTTTTGTTAAGATTTAAAATCAGTGCTGGTGTTGAAGGAAAAAGCAGCACTTTGTGGTTTCAATCACTGAAGTTCTATATGGGCATATAAGTTACTAAAAATAACAAAATACTTTGTTCTTTTGAGGAATAGCAATTTAATGGTAGTATTATTTGATAATACTATTACCTCATTTAGGGCAGTTGCTTTCAATTGAGTGCAAGTTTTCAATTGAGTGCAAATTTTCTGTATTAGACTTCTATACTCTCCTAACCAAAATATATAATCTAATTCTGAGACTAATTTTATGCAAACACTTTTTTCCCAAGACATTCTCTTCAGAATTTCCTATCACCCCTTCTTTTAAATGAATCATGCTAAAATATCTATGAAAACTTACCAAATTTATGATGTCCCCAATATCATAGTTGCAAACAGAGATTTAAGAAAACAGCTGAAATCTTACAGGATGCACCTCAGCAGAACATCTTTGAGGCTATTCCCATTTTTAGCACTATGCTAACTGCACATCTGCCATCCTGACCAAGTAACTGAGAAGCCAAGGTTTGGTCGTACATGCTGTCTTGATTAATTTTTTAAGTAAAACCTAATTTTACCTATTATTTTTACCTGCTACAGAGACACAAGCTTACCTTAGCTTTTAAACTAGGCTGATGGGGAGGGGAGGGGGGCAACTGTACTTGGAACACTGCACAAAAATCTAGTAGCACACTCTTATTTGAAGACTTCCATGGTCAAGAGGTGGGTAAACACTGAGAATCCATCCACAAGAGCCCAGTAAGCAGGCAGAGCACTCTGATGAAACTTTGCAGAAGTAAGTAGGTAAACCCTAACCCTTGACATACAATCAGTCATTTATGCTAACTGCATGGTGGGGCGAGGGGGAAGGTTTGCTTCAATTGGAGAACAACCGCATAGTAAACTTGGCTCTCTTGACTGAATCTCTTCAAACTAGTAAGGACCTTCTGCACTGAAAAAAGACTCACTGAAGCAGCCACAGGACTTTGTTGATTCTCTGTTCAAACACAGGAGTACACCTTTAAGCTGCCAACCAAAACTTCTCCCCATTTGAATCTCCCTGTATAATTCAGAACCAAAAGACTCTAAATGGTAGCACCTGTGAATAAGATCCAGATAAGTAAATCTATGACCACTGGAAAACAAGTTTGATACTGAGGTAAGATACATGACTCCTTTGCTTCTCTGGGGAGAAAAAAAAAAGCCCACAAGGCAACCCCCAAAAAACAAAGGCAAAGGAAGGACAGGAATTTTAAGCAGTTAACCTATGGAGGGCTCTCTAGTTCAGCTGAACAGCATGACAAAGTCCATCTCCTAGGGTATACTTCATTTTTTGGTGAATGAGGAAAAAAATTATTCTGGTATTTCTGTTCCTGACTGCTAAATTGTCCCATTGCTTTCTGAGTCTGTTTATCCTCTGACAGAGGTTAACAAACAGAAATGGTGGTGCACAACTCTTGCTTATTTAACTTTTCCATGTCAACTGATTTTGCAGACCTTTGCCTTATCCTATCTCAGTGTATCTTTTTCACAAAAGGGTCCTTCACTATTTACTAACTCCTTATAAAGATGTTCTTTGCCATTGTTCACTGCCATGGCCCTTCTTGTACCTCTTTTGGAATCTACCGTATCTGTTTTGAATAGAAACTGTCCTTTCTCTTTACCATTGATTTCATTTGCCCTCTTACCACCTTGTCAACACAGGCTGGGGAGGTCTTTCAGCAGTTTGTGACAGCTGATCTTCATAATGGCTGACTGCATAGCCTAACATAACCAGCAAACTTGGCTTCTGTTCCTCCTCCTTTCCCTAGATCATTTATGAATATGCTGAGCTGTACAAAAGGCCATAAGGTGGATCTTTCCAAGACTCTGATGGGAAACCTCTGTGCTGTGAAAACTGAGCATTGACTTATTTGGGCTTTCTTAAAGCTTTTAATCTGCTACTGAACTATGACACAACCTCTCCCCTTATCTCCAGACTGTTCAATTTAAGTGTCTTCAGTGAGTTACAGCATGTAATGATCTTTGGAAATTTGAAAAAGAAAAAAAAAGGAAAAAAGAGAACTTGCCAAAGCATTGTATTTTTAACTCATTTCTTTAAAGTAGTTTCTATCCATTTGTGCATCAGAGATGTCACTCAATTTTGTGTGAAAATGCCCCAACAGGTTCCAAATTTACAGAATGTGACAGAAGTCACACAGACACAGTGGCATATCACAAGCCTTATTTCTTTAGGAAACCAATCCAGAAGAATTATTGAAAAATATGAACTGCCACCTATAACAAAGAATTATTATTTGATGTTGAAATGCATTCTGTGTTGGTCTGCACACAGTGTTTCTGCTGTACATGCACTTTACACACCCGCAAGTGCACACACATCCACATTTAAGCTTGATTTTAATTCTTCATGTTTATATCCACTATCTTAAATCACTGTAGACTCTAAAAATTAAAAGTTGATTGCTTATATAGAATCATCAAGGTTGGAAGAGACTTTAAGACCAAGTCCAACTGTTAACCTGTCACTCTGCTGTAATGCCTAAACAGTATCTTCCAGTGCCAGACCCAGGCACCTCTTAAACTAAACACTCTTAGGCATGGTGACTCCACCACCTCCCTGGGCAACCTATTCCAATGGCACAACAATAATTGATACAGTCATTGTAAGAGAGATTCCCATCCACACCTATAACTTTGTGCTCTCCTGTCTTCATAAATGCAATCTTGCCCAACTTAAATTCATACAAAATACTACCATAAGGATATTTTTTCTGGTTCAGTACTTCGATTACGCCACCCCTCAGCACTTCTCCCATGCCTCCCTTATCTCTTGCCATCAAACATGAACTATGTATCTGCATTTGCATGGCCTTTCAAATACAAAACTGTAGCATATGTGTCAACTCATTTGTTATCAAGGTGTCAGCCTCAGACACCTCTATGTCAGGGTTAGCCTTAGTTGGCCATTTGTCAAATCTCCCAAACAAACCCTTCTGTTCTTTAACTCATACCAGCATTTTTGCATAAAACATGCAAAACTTTGTGAGTTTTCCTCTTTTAAATCCTTTCTTCAAACATTGTTCTGATTAGTGACATTGGTTAGAGAACTGGTGAATTGTAATCAGCTTTTACACTACTAGTCATAATATAAGTCATTATTACTAAACACTTCACAGACTATTTTAAAAAAAAAACCTATATGCTCTACAAAGAAGAGACTACGTAACATTATGGGGAACTTCTAGCCATTACAACATTTTCACAACAAAGACAATGTTTATTAACCTATTTTCCAAACAAATGTTGGTTTATTTTAACATTGAAAATATGCAGGTCAATAACACGGTTTGCTATCTTAAATTCTTGTGATAGTTTACCTGAGTTGCAGCAACAACAGTAGTTACAGAAGGCGCGGTTGAAGGTGACAGAGCTCCCACTTGCTGCAAGTGGCCTGAAGCCTGCTGAGGTAAATGAGAACTGGAAACGGGAGTGCTAGATCCTGAGCCAGATACTGCATTTGGAAATGATACTGCTACATCATTGCTGCTAAAAATACCTGAAAAAAATTACAAAAACGATTACATGCATCTCTCTCTCTCCCCCTCCCTCTGTTTTCTAGTAACCATGTAAATATGCAGTAGAAAATTAATCAAGACAAACAAGATCACTTAATACATAATGCAGAAAGCTCGTCTGTTGAAATTCTAACCATGCTGATTGATAAAAGTGCTCTCATCATTTGACATTCTACAGTTCAGGGAACACAGATTGATTCAGTTCTAAGCTTTTGTAAAACACGTGTGATAAATCAAATATTTATGTGCATTACAAACTGCTCAAATATTAACAATAGCAGAATTTTTGGCTAAAATGCCTGCCTTCAACTGAGTCTGATAGCACAGTTTGTTCTTTCAGTGAATTACTGTTAAAATTAAGTAAAGAATGACGTATTGGGCTATATAACAGAACATACACCATACAAATGGAAAAAAAAAACTTTTTAACTTTAAAATAAAGTGTTTCTAAACAACATACATTTGTCCAAAACTGTAATTTTGGCAACTAAGGATTTCTTGCATTTTTTCAGAAAAATATTGACAGCAAGTCTGAGGACAAAGTACTCAGATTTGCCGGTAGAACTGGTGGTATTTCATTTATTCACAAACAAAAATTCCATCCATGATCTATACGAATGCTTGACTAACATTTCTGCTAGAACAGCCAACAATAAACAACTAAACACGTTAACATTAGATAGACTTGTACGTTAGCAATTTAAAAAGGAAGAGTTCATACCCCTTTGTGAAGCCATTACTTCTGTTCATCTACATGCAGGGTAAAGTTCATTAAAGAGGTTGGGAAAAAAAACCCTACTGACCAGAAGCCCAGGACAAGAAGTAGTACCTGTCTATGAAACCGTTAGGCTCCACGTGCATTAGATAAGTGAGCTGTCAGCTGGCCAAGGAATATCAAGCATGGTAGCACTGAACTGCAGTTAGAGGAAGAGTGCCACAGGGAGTAAACAGAAGTAGAATGAACATGGTTAGATCAAAAAAAGCAACAGAACTGAAATGCCAGTTAGAAGGCAAAGGGTGGAGCTAGTTTGTCTCTCATACAAATAATGATCTGAAGAAGGCAGTGACAATAAGAAGATTGGCAATGTTAAAACACCACTTGCCACCCAGATATCCCTCCGAGCACAGGCAATCCAGGGGGACTGTCATCCAAACCCACACATCATAGGTAAACACTGATGCATCTTAAATTCCCTGCCTCTGTTAACTGTCAAGAAAAATGGAAGGGAAAATCAGCCAGACCCAGTAGAGAAAGAAGATACGAAAAACCAGCTGAAGACACATCCCTACAACACTTTTTTCCTGCCTAAACAAAGTTAGTGACTTCTTGTCGTCATCTCCTCAATCTCTTCATCATAGAGCAATTCCATACCTGCTCCCCTTTTTTACTGACCTTCAGATCTTTTTCCACTTAGTGCACCTTTCCTTCCTTGCTGTTTTTTTTGGTTTTTCTTGGTCACCATCCCCAAAAAATCTACAGTTATGGCATCATTAGCAGTTAAGATCCTCGATGTGTTCACTTCGCTATGCCCTTTCTCCAATTTATCTGCCTCATCTAACTAGACAGTACATTTTATGGATCCTGCTCTAATTTGTCCCTACACACCTCCAAAATGAACACAACTAACAAAACACCCTTGCTACTGAGTCTGCTCTTAAATGTGATATAATTATGACCACAAACACTGAAATATACCCCAGCTCCTCACAAGATTTTTTAAATCTGCTATTAATCAGCAATTTCAAGTTAATAAAAAGGATGAGATTTGACCCTTTGTTTTTCAAATGCATTAAAACAATTAAACAAACAAACATTCTTGAAAAATATGAGATTCTCATGCAATTATCAGGTTTCAGGAACCATAATTTTAAGGGTAAAAAATAACAAAATATCACAACACCTATGATTAAATCAGAAGAGCTCATCACCACAAATACTATCGCTCTCATAAAACATTAGTGGTAATGAGAGGAGAAAACAAAATTTCTGGTGACAGTCAAGTACTAAAAGAGAAGGATATTTTGCCAGAAAGGGAAAACAACTCCAAAATTTTAAAGCTATTGTAGATTTGTTTAATTTTTAAAAGTCGTATATCTTTAATAACTGCAGAGCTTCTGCTGCTTCTATTTTAACAATAAGGTTTATTCTTCCTCTTAAAAATAAAATTCTGAAATACAAGCAGATAGTTATGAAATCACGGGCATAAAACTATTTCAAAAGAAAGACAAGCAGTAAACTAGTTTGCCAGTGGAATGAGGTAAGCTAGTATTTGTTGCTAGTTGTAGCAGTAGTATTGAAAACACTCACTATTTGTTGCTGTTGCAAAACACAGGACAAATATGACCTATCCACACACTCTGTTTGGGATAAGTATTTCCATTTAGCAATACCTTACCTAAACACAACAAGTACATGCACCTTCTGGAACTCGTCATGCAACCAAGATATTACTCCATGCAAGCATTCAAATAAGAACTGTATGCTGAACATACAAATAAATCCTCAATTTTCACACTCTCAAAAATGTGTATGAAAAATATGTGCATGTCATATTAGAAAGCCAAGACAGTACACATTTAAAATGTCTCGAACATACTAAGCTGTCCTTTGGGATTTGGGAAGAGATAAATCACTTTCTGGATCGGGAAGGAATAATGACGAAAGCCTGAACAAATCACTGCAAACCACATTAATGTTTAAAACAAACAAACCACCTTCGAGTCCTCCCATATTACTGAAAAGCCACACAGCTATAACTTGTGATGAGTGGCATTCTGTAATTTGCCAGAGGCGTAAACAGGATGGTTAAATACAACCTTCAGCACTTCAAACAGAACAGTTCTTCAGCTGCAGGTGGAAATGGACACGTAACCCTGTTCAAGTAGAGTCTGACTGTGCCTAACCCTGCAAACAGAGCTGCAGAACACTAATTTCAGCTTCTAACAGACAGAATGCTCACATAGCCTGCACTGCTGCAGTGAAAGACTTAACAAAAAGGCAACTAAATAAAATTAAAAAAAATAATCTCTGGGCAACAAGTAACTGCCTGCTTAGCACAGAAGGTAGTACTATAGAGCAGGGAATGCATCAGATAATGCAGATTGGAGAAAAACTGCATTCTTTTTTTGTTGACAGTCAATGACAAAATAGGTAATAGAGGAAATAAAAGAAGTTCAAGAATAGTCAAAACCAAAAATAGCCTCAAGTTATAATTAGCTGTGTAGCAACATACACCAGGAGGCACACAGAACAATTTTAGTGATTTTACACAAAATCTCAAAAAGAAGTAGTTCCATGAGCAGAAGAATTAACAAAACAGATTAAATTCTGGCTTTCAGTAGCGTTGCATCTCACAGATGACATCAATACACCAAGCTTTCCTCCTACAATTTCTGAATTTATGAAATATGACACGTTAAGAATTTCATGCTTATTCTAGTCTGATTCAAGAAGTTTTGAAGTACTCATAGATTAGAGCACTAAGATAAAGAGCTCCATGATCACATCTGAGACACATGCTCAGAACTACAAGAAAGACCTGTATCATAGAATCATAGATCAACCAGGTTGGAAGAGACTTCAAAGATCATCAAGTCCAACCCTACCATGGTTACTAGACCATGGCACTAAGTGACACATCCAGTCTCAGCTTGAAACCCTCCAGGGATGGTGAATCCAACACCTCATGGGCAGCCCATTCCAATGCCTGAGTACTCTCTCTGTAAAAAATCTCTTCCTAATATCCAACCTAACCCTCCCATGGCAGAGCTTGAGTCTGTGCCCTCAAGTGTGTCACAGCACAGAGAGATCTCTGTAATAAAATAAGTTACACAGATATGGAAGAACAACTGCTAAAGGTCTTAACTTTTATTTAGATGTTCACTTTTGTAACCGTGAGCCAATACATACAAGCCTAAGTTACCTTAAGAAGACATACTAAAACCAAAGCACTTTTTAGGCTCACTGAATGAATATTCCTGAGTAGGAGCATGACATTTGTGACCTACATTTCATAATGATTTCTATGGGGAAGTTACTTTGCTGAAGGTCTTCAAAAAGACACCATAGCTTCAAACCACCCTGACAGCAATCTATCTCAGTGCTAAAATGGTGAGTCACTGGAAGCACCAGATTTCTCTTCACTGTTAATATAGCCTTTTACTGGAAGAACTGGAGAACTCAGAAGTTCTGTCTTTTGGACTCCAGTGATCTGAGGCTGGTGTGTGAGGGTGTGCTGCAGGATGCCTGATTGAGCCAGAATTTTCAAATGGGGGCCATGCCAGAGGCTAACAACTAACAACTAACAACATCAATGCACTTGTGACTAATTATTTCTGGTGGGGAGGAACAGCTGCTGCCCAAACTGCTGAAAGATTACACATAACTGTCATTAGCAACAGTTAAAGTATTAATGTGGTACTCTAGAACCTCATGGACAGATAGTTATGCTTAGGTTTGTACTATTTGACAATCAAACAGCTACTCAACACTCAAAAAAATGTGCATGAAGGAACTATTTCAGGCTGATTTTGCAATTTGTCCTTCTCTTGTTTTTCCTTTTTCACAAGGCATATGGTTTAGCTGAGCACTACTATCCCCAAGCTTCAAAAGAGACAGATGCATATTTATCAACACTGAAAAATCTTTGCCCAAGTGGTGCTAGATTCCAAAATTTTAATTCATTCATGTTCAGTACAGATTCTGTCTAGCTTAGGTTATCCTGTTAAAAAAAAAATCATACTGCGTATACTAAATTTTTGCTGCACTGATGCAGAGGCCAAAGCTACAGGACTGAAGTTTCTTTGAAAACCCAGTGTCTTCCAAAGCCCATCACAGCACTGGGACTGGCACGATGGATGTCTGTTCTGTGCTATGACTCCCCTCACTGCCACTCCAAAATCAGCATAAGACAACAGTCAAACACAAAGACCCGAGAACAGCAACAGGAGTATGAAATAAAACACAGAAGACAGAACTAGCAAGAACAGAAAGAAGTAGGAACAGAAAGGCCACAACCAAACATTACAATTTACAGCTAGCTCCAACATAAAATAACAATCAGGTCATCACTTCCCATAGCCTTTTTTTTAAAGTATGCACTAAAACTGCTAACAGATACGTATGTCTACTCTCTCTTGCCCCTTTCCAGTGGTAGGCCCATAAATGCAGAGATGAGACTTCAAGGTCAAGCCAAAAAAGTTTGACTGCAAGGTCTAGAATAAGACAGAAGGAGAAAGCGCATTGCTATCACGCAGTGAAGAGCAGTGAAAACTTTACATCTCTCAACTGCAATTTTGATAGGTTTTTTTAAAAAACCAAGTTTTTGAAAAAGCATGAAGTTGACCATAAGACTGTGAAACAAAGCACTGAGTATACCAAGCCTCTTACTGCTAAAACTGCAGCGTGACACTTCTGCCTTGGAGCGTCTTGACTTCTTTCTATTAATACAGACATCTTAATGGAAAGATACAGCTTCCATGATTCCCTTTTCCAGTCCTCTTTTTAGGACTAGACCCTTTCAAACCATGATCAATACTTTTACTATTATCCTTCCTCCTTTACTCTTTGTCAGCACCAAATTTCAACTGACAGGCTTCAACTATCACCTTTATATTAGCAAAACTATCAAATGAACCTCAGCACTCCAAACTTATATTTGCCTCCACTCAAACTAAAGCTCACCGATTTTCTTTCAAGTACTCCATTGTCGATGTGAAGTTTAACCTCAGTGCAATGAAAAACCAAGTTCCTGATACACTGTCTTCATCAAAACTCTTACTGACAGCAAAACAAAGTCCTCAGCACTATCTGCCTCAATCTAAATATGCTATTGGAGTAAAGCATCTTCCTTTATTTAAATACTTATCTCAAGTTTGAATACTATCTTTCCATCCTATATACACACACAAGACAAAATCTTTCCTTGCTGTTCATCTTATCAAAAATTTCTTTCTACCCTCATTGATTTCACCCAAATATATACATACACTTTTGTCAAAACACGAGCTCTGCAATACTGGGGGGGAAAAGTAATCAACTTAAACATGGGAAGGTACCACAAAACATTGCCACCACCACACCATCACCCCAGAAAAAGGTAGATTAGATGAGAAATCCTGTCCAAACACCACTCTGAAACAAATATGTAGCTAAAATTATGCTGCTCCACAACAGAAACTCATATAAAGCATTACTATTGGTTGGCAATAAATGCCCTTCCAACATAACATCTATGCTATTAGCTTAAAAAACCAAAAGTGCAAGGTCAAAAGAAGTCAGAAATGGTGTTCCATCAATTTCTGCTCTGCACCCTATTGTGAACCTGTACCTCCTCTTCAACATTAAACAGCAAAAAGGCTCTGCTTATAAAACAGCAGAAACTCACCAAGTCCAAATTCAGCACACTTTGTCAGATACCCTTCAGATGTTTTATTTTTGTTCAGAAAAATGGTGAGCTTGCTTTCCTTCATCTCAAAGCTGGTTCACACCACTGTATACCTGGGAGAGTGAGAGGGAAACCCTATATCAAAAGGAAAAAGGCTAAACCTATTTTACCAAAGCAAAGTCAATCTAGAAAAATTTCAATGTAGACTATGAAATATAAATTTAATGCAATATTAATTTTTTTATTCTTTAAGAGACCCACCACTGTAGACATGTGCCTAACAGACGTAACTCATGGCTCCAACGGTGTGAAAAGCAAAAGTCCTATAAAACCTTAATGACTGCTGCCTTAAAATGCAAAGAACTTCACCATGCAAAGTTTCAAACATTTAAATTCTTTTACATATGCTGGACTCCGAGCCAATACAATTAGCAATGCATGCAGCACTGCTCTTCCAACATACATGCACAGCAATAAGAAAATCATTCTATCTGGCTGACACAATGGATAAAAAAAAATCCAATTTTGATTAACAGATCACCTGACACCAATTAAATATCACACTGAGAAAGAAACTTGGTCGTCTTCAAAACTAGCCTCAGGAGAGGGTTTTAAATCTTTCAGTAACTTGTGAATGTAGCTATGATTGTTTCCTACAAACGAACAAGAGCTTTGAAAAAGTAAACCAAGTTCTAATTTAATAAGACATATTTCATTTCCACTGGCTGTGAGTGAATACAGAACTAGGGGTACAAAGCCAATACTGAATACTAAAGGCGACAGCAATTAGATACATTAAAGATTCAATATTGCTCCCTCTGAAACTGATAGTTCTGTTATCAGCGACACAAATGGGCAGCATCAGGCTGTCAGAACAAAGAATGGACAAAACAAGGCTACCTTCACATGCATTACTTGTAGTAATTTAAGTAGTCAAGAAGGCAAGTGGGAGAATGCCTGAGGTAGACACCAGTATAACACACCTATGAATGGAGCACAGAAGAAGAACTAGAAACACTATTCACAAAATTAAAGAAAAGAATCTCAGAACTGGAATAAAACTGTTATCGTTTTACTGCACACATACAAAAAGATCATAAAAAGAGAACTGAGGAACTATTGACCTATCAGGCTCCTGCAGACAATCTACAAAGTTTTCACTCAAGTCCTGAACAATTGACGCACTGCAGACCTGTATTTCACCCAATCCATAGAATATGCAGACCTTCAATCAGGCTTTTCCACAAAAGGCTACCCTTTGTGATAAATGAACCTCTGAAAAAGATTCTAATATAACTTACCATTATGTATGGCATTCATCAACTTCGAGAAAGCTTTTGAGTTAGGAGAAAAAGGGCTTCATGTTAAGATCATGTTTAACAGACGCACAAAAGAATATATGTATAGACAGGAATTTCAGTGAACAATAATATACCTGAATACATCTTTCTTGTATAACAGCTCTGATCATTTACAGTAGCTCAAACTGTAAAATGGATTTATTTCTATCGACTATAATTTTTTACTTATATTTCTTTTATCAGTGTTGGTTAGATTTGAAATGTCAAGCATAAGAACATCGCAGCACACACTAATTAGCTGCATTCTAAAGCTATTACTACAAATAAAAATTCAAATCCTTTCCAGCGGCAATCAGACTTCCCAACAAAAGACTGATTTTAATTTCATTGTCTGCAACAAATTTAGAAACTCAAACGGAAGTTGCCTTGCTAATTTTAATCACAAGGCATCTGTTTTGCTTCACAGAGAGATTTGAGGCGAACTCAAGCAATCAAGAAGTTGAACAGAAAAGGTTTTTGTGTCCTGGACTTTAGAGAGCTCAGTTCAAGAGCAACTCAGATATGTAGAGAGAAAGAACATCCAACTAGTGGTACACCAAAGGAGATGCCCACATGAACCTCCTTTCCTTCAAGAGCTGAGGTTTTCACAGAATATTGATCTCTGACCTTGAAGTGCCCGAGTACACTCAGATCCTCTGCTGGGTAGCTGGAAGTCTCTAACACAGCTCTCACGGCACGACAGCCCTTTGATGCCCAGCTGCAGAGTGATGGCACTCACAGATTCTGGCCCTCTTCCACTTAGGCCATCACTTCATTTATGCTTAGGATAATGACCTCATTACTATTTTAGGTTTGGTTTACTAGTTCACTCTTTCTCACTGCTAATGAACAAAGCCTTCAGCTTACGTGTCTGGTTTGACAAGATGATCCAACGAATGAGTTTACAGGTGAGAGAGTCGCAAACACCTGCTATACCTCCGTGGGAGAATTTTCTACCTCAGCCTCTGAGGTCTGACTGTAATAACTGGTCGTGTTCCAACAGGGCAACTGCCTTTTATGCTTTAATTTTTCTCTTCTTTACTCTCACCACAATTGGCAGCTACTAGAGATTGCTGTCATAAGTCATTTTTTAACTGCCAGGCTCTTCTGAACATGAGGATTTCAAAAAATGAACTAACAACAAAGACACCTTAAAACTTGTGTCACTGATACTCAAATATTACAAAACTAATTCAGAAGTCATTAAAAAAATAAAATCCTAGCCTTTTAGCTACTGTCTAAACTTAAGCAACTAGCCAAATGTATTTCAATGGGAAAAAAAACTTTTAAAATTTGGAATATTTTAATTAAAGCATTACAGACCAAGTCTGTACTATAAACATTGAAATACTGTTGGAGGGGGCTGTGGTAGAGAAAAAGTACCCACAATATACAAAATCCTGGACAATTCTTGACAAAAGTGCATTAATCTGATAAAAATGAAACTGCTCATTTCATTAACTTTCTCAAGTGTTCAGAGAACTAACAAAATGTACAAAAATACACTTATGAACAAAACTAAACAAAAAAATTACTAAAATATGAATATGGCTAGAATGATACACATTATACTATTTGGGAAAATTCCACCTCAGGTGCAGAGGACACCATGCAACTGTTGTCTGCCACCCTTACAAGCAGAGTCATTTCACCCACACCTACTCTCAACAGCCTTTGTTTGACTATAATTGTATCAGTTTGTGCAGTTATGCTCAAATTCTGTGCACAAGAAATAGAAGCCACTTTGATCCACCACTGCTTTTGAAGTAAGGAACCGCTGGGTAGGTCTGGGGGGAGGCTTGGGGTTGTGGTGGGATTTTTCTTTTTTTTCCTCTATTTTTTACTTTATTCAAACAAGCTCAGCCCTAGATTGCCTGAAGCCATACCTTTTGCTTTTGTTTCTTTAAAACTGTACCACACAGCAGCTACCATTAACCCAAGCAATCACAATGTATTCCCAAGAGGTATGAGAAAGTTTTAAAGCAGAATACACTAGGTATGCCCCAATGCAAAATTCACTCCTCTAAGATACACACTGCATAAGCAAATGAGGAAGAGATGCAGTTAAAGAGCTGTAGACCTTGGCAGCAACATGGGGTTAAAGCAGCAGTTGTCTGGCAACTCAAGAACACGCACAAAAACAAAGTAGGAGAAACAAACTGCAGCAGAACTCCTTACAACTGCAGCTACTAAACGTGGGGGGGAAATGTCTTTTTAACATTGATGGTATACACAGTCCTTAAGAGAACAGTACCAATTCCAGGATACATGAATTACACTTTAGTCTGCTACTGTGCAGAAAGAACTTCTCACAAGATGCATGTGCTACCATGGCATAAATATGTAAGGAGAGGATTCACAACTTCGATTCTTACTTTGAAAGTCTCTTGGAATCCTCAAGATTTCCAATAGGGAGTAAAAAAGACTATCATGTAATGATGAAAAGAGACAAATGTAGTGTTTTGTATTATCAGAAGGAAACACAACAAAATACCACTTAAAAACTTGATGTTGCACCCGTATTTCAAATACTACCTGATATCTTAAAATAGGATACAGACACATTAAGAGAGATCTCAAACAGGTAGGAAGGATATCATATGAATGACGAAAAGGTACTAAGATATCTAGGTCTAAAAAGATAATGAGGGGGAAGTGACAGACATTTATCAGTTCTGAACGCTGTAAAGAAGCTGAATATTTTTGATGATCATTCACTGTGTTTAGAGGAGCATAATGATCAGCAACAGTTGCATAAAAAGCACATCCTTTTACAATGTATAAAAAGGATATGAAACTCACTTCTCACATTTTGGACTCTAACAGCACAAACAGTTCCAACAATTATGACAGAAATTCAAGGAAGAGACCAATTCATGGAAAAGATCAATAGCTGCAGATATCCAACCCTGAGTTGACATACAGAGTCTGAGTAAGAAAACATCCTGTTTAACCTAATTCCTTTAAAACAAACTATTCCAACACAGACCTCATCCAGTTACACCAGGAAGGGCCAACACTAGCTCAGTCCTCCTTGTGACTGATGGAGCTAATTCTAGACTCCTCCCGAGCCTCACCACAGAACAGAGGGAGAACTGTTCCCCTACCACACTCCATAAATCAGTAGAAGGCAGATGAAAATAGGTGTTTTATTCTGGAAGCAAAAAAGAGCTACTGTCTTGGTTCCTGGTATGACTGCATCTCTTGGCAGCTACCTCTTTCCTGCCTTTCCTGTGCTGAAGTGCCCTCCCAGACACAGAGTTTTCTCCTCTAGCCAAGCCATTGAACTCCAACATGCTAAGGTGTTAAGAAAGGTTAGGGATGGTGAAAAGTAATCATATATACGCCAAAAAAGTATATACCGTTATAGCTGGACTTCACATTCATTGTTTTCTTCGGGTTTTTTCCATCTCTACTGCCTTATGCACTTCCCTCTCTGTCTTGGCTGAATCCTTCCTGTCCTCATCCAATCCTGATGGGAGCTGCTATTGCTTCCTTTAAAACCTTACAATTATTCTTTCTCAATATCAACTCTGTTTGGAAAAACTTTGATGCTTCCAGCTCATTCATCAATTAGTTTCCAAATCTCTCAGAACTGACAATGTGTTAATACCTACATCTGAGTCACCAATCAATGACTGCTCCTTGTTTTTAAGGGAATTGGTTACGCATACAAAAACTGAAGTTCAATTCTAAGTTTATCACTACTCCCACAAGACAAAGAAGGCCTAGTGACTTTGTCCCTTGGAATGATGTTATTTGCAACCACTAAATCCCTCAGATTGGGTATTAGTCCACGACAGTTGCCCCCCTCTAAGGAAAAAACAAAACAAAAAAAACCCAACAACTTTGAGATTGTTACGTGAAAGGTAACTATACTGATGACTTTTTCATTTGTGTGGGAGAATGGGGCAATGGGGTTTTTTGGTTCATGGCTTGGTTGGTTTCAGTGGGTTTCTTATTATCACTTTTAACTGGAACTTCTAATCAGGAAATCCTTCCAACAAATGTTCAAAACAAATAACAGGAAACAGAAATAAAACCAAGTCAAGACAAAGAATCTGACACTATTACTCATGCACAAGCCCCAGTCAGAAGTATATATTCCTGAGCTCTGTTACCAGCTTCCATGAATCTCCTCTCAAGTTTCTAGCACTAGACTGGTCCAAAGACCATAGAGGCTCACTCACTCTTTTTTTGACAAAAGTTTCCCTTTTTTTCCAGTTACTTAGTTTAAGAAGAACCCTCTTCAGAAACTTTTACCACTGCATGTAATTCTCCCTCATAAAATACATGCAGCAACCTAGGTCACTGTCAAAATTAAGTTTTCTTACTGCTGTCCTTACGGCCTTCTCACAGACACCTCACTATCTACCAGACCTGACAACAAAAAACGAAGACTTCTATTTAAAACCTGCATAAAACATATAGGAAGAACAATATGAAGTAATAAGTTTGCATCTAAACCAGGTGTTAAACCTCAGTTTTGTTCAAATGGACAAAAGATTTACTTTACATTCAGGATCAGGTAAGAATTAGCTTTTCTGACAATATAGTTTATTTCACTTAGTATTTTCTATGTTACCACCACAAAAGCCCTAGTGAGAACTGTTCTGGTTTTGACAGCACAGTTTGTGTATACATCATACCTGTATATCAAGCTCCTACAGCATTTTTTCAGTTATGCCTAATACTCCTGAAAAAAAGGTTTATTTGAGTAACCTCCTGAAAACACAGTGTTGGCTTATCTGTGACAATTTTCTGCATTTTATTTATTAAAAGTGAGCTCACATTCATGTGGATCACACAAGGATCTTGCAGGTACAGGTAACCTTTATAAAATATAAAGAAAAATAGTAGAAGTTTTTTACTCTAAGGGTGGTGAGACACTGTCCCAGGTTGCCCAGGCAGGTGGTGGCTGCCCTGACCCTGGCAGTGTTCAAGGCCTTGAGCAACCTGGTCTAGTGAGGAGGTGTCCCTGCCCAGGGCAGGGG